TTTGAATGATGTTAAATGTTGTAGTAAAAATATAAAACTTAACTCTCCTGCTTTTATACACTGGTTATCATAAATTAAGGAAAAATCACAAAAATAGCGATAACTCTTTCAAAAGTAAGCCAAACCGTGCAAAATTTGCATATGTTGTCCACTAAGAGTAGCTGAGTAAAATTGCAATATGCAAATTAGTGGCGCTGCACTCGGCTTACGTCATCTGCCTGGAGCATAAAAGTCCAAGTTTGAGAGAAAGCACACAAATTTTACTGTGATTGCGACATTGAAAATCTGAGATAGCCAATTCGTAATAATGACCTCTAGGCATCATTTGCCTGAAGAACTACGATGGAGAGCCATCGGGAGACTAGAGGCAGGGCAGAGTCAATCAGAAGTGGCCAGATGGCTAAATGTGAGTCCATCTGTGGTTCATAGACTTTGGAGGCAATTTCAAACCACAGATTCGGCATCTAGGAGGTTCAGTCAAGGACGGCCAACTGTTACGACCAGTGCCGATGACCGATATTTGACATTAAGTGCACGCAGGAATAGAACCGCTACTCCGACACATCTTAGATCCTCTCTTGCTGCAGCCACCGGAAGGTTGGTGTCAACGTCAACTGTGCGCAGAAGGCTCCACGAAGGTGGTCTGTATGCGAGACGACCAGCCATTTGCGTGCCGCTCACATCACGCCATAGGAGAGACCGTTTGCAGTGGGCCCGACAACATGTCCACTGGACGTCAGATCAATGGAGGCCTGTTCTCTTTACGGATGAGTCCAGGTTTAGTCTAGAAAGTGACAGTAGACGTTATTTGATATGGAGAGAACCTGGGACCCGTTATCATCCATCAAACATCCGTGAAAGAGATGCATACGGAAGAGGCAGTGTCTGTGTTTGGGGAGGCATATCCTTAGGAGGGCGCACATACCTCCATGTCTTTCCAAGGGGAACCGTGAATGCTCAGGTTTATCGAGACAACATCCTTGATGCTTATGTGCGCCCATATGCCGGGGCAATTGGTGATTGCTTCCTGTTACAGGACGATAATGCAAGACCACACAGAGCTCGCATTGTTGATGATTATCTTCAACAGGAAACAATTACTCGCATGGAGTGGCCAGCTCGATCCCCGGACTTGAATCCTATCGAGCACGTTTGGGATGCTCTAGGGAGGCGTGTATCTGCCATCAATCCGCCCCCTCAGACCCTTGCCACGCTTGCAACTGCTTTACAAGAGCAATGGCTCTCACTTCCTATTGAACTGATAGACCGCATAATTGAAAGCATCACACATCGCTGTTTGTGCTGTATTGCTTCTAGAGGCAATCATATTCCATATTAAAGGTACTTTTTCTATTGCAAACCGATACTTCCAATTTGTTTATTTTATACATGTGCTAATTTCTATACTACTATTAATGTCTGATAATTTCTTTTTATGTTGTTTAATACCTTACTATGTGTTGTATATTGTGGGTAAGTTTCATAAAATTCCATGTGTAATTTCTTGAATTATCGCGATTTTTGTGAATTTTCCTTAATTTATGATAACCAGTGTATCTCTCTATATAGGAAAATCGTAGGGGCCGTTATTTTTTGTGTTCGTTTTTGTGTTTCGTTGTAAACGTTTGATTTTGTAGTTCTACGAAAAAATCTGTAAGACTTTAAGTTTTCAATTTGAAAGGTGTGCAGAAATTGTATAGGAATTCAGATGGAATGAACAAAATTAAAATTTGTTTACGAATTATTAACAGTAGTTAGGACTGTTAGAAAAATTGCCAAACGGGTTGCAACTACAGAACTGAAATTTGGCATGCTGAAAAGGCAACATTTGATTATAAACTTAACCCAGAGTTTTTTTCTTTTTCTTTTGTTTCTTTTTTTAAAATTTTAATCTGATCGAAAGTTATTGCAATTTTGAGTGCTTTTCTTACAATTTTTTGATTCACGTTACATTTTGCTTTGCTGCTCAAAATTCTATGAGACTTTGAAACTTTATGGACGATGGTACGTATACGTATAGAAAAACGTACAGTGATTACGATAGGGAATAAAAATAAATTACGACTCGATTATTAGTTCAAGTATTATAAACTGTTTCACTTGTAGTAAAAAAAAAGGGGGGGGGAAGAAAACAAACATGTTGATGGATATACTGAGAAGCAACTACAGAGTTGGAATTTGGCATTTCGTACAATTTAATTTTAACAAGAGTTTTTTTTTCAAAACTGCTATTTGCTCGAAAAATGTTGCAAATTTAAATGTTTTTGTGATTTGTTTTTCTTTAGCTTTCTTGCTTTAAATATTAACTATACTAGCTGAATACCCATTTTTCGCACGGGGAGAGTAAAAAATAAATAAAAAAATAAATAAATCAGTATTGAGAAATACTACGAAATCCTGCTCAAAACTGAAAATCATATAACGACACAATTAAAGAACTTGGTGGAAGAACCAGGTAAGTGAAATGTATAGGAGAATTAATGAATCAGAGAAAATAAAAAAAGTGGTTGTATCAATACGGGTATTAATTATGTATCAATACGTAATTAATACCCGTATTGTATCAATACGGGTTTAATGTTACAGAACTGTTTTTTACTTCACTCATATCTTAACATAACATCAGTTTTCAGTATGCTTGCATCATTTTTATTTCAAATTAGGCAGGGGTAAATATATTGAAACAAAGAAATATTTCCCCCTCTTTCTAATAAATTGGTAATAAAATTGTTGGGATGCAACTTTTTTTTAGTTCTGAAAATGTTACTTACCTGGTTCTTCCACTAAGTTTTTAAATAATATGGTTAAAATTATTTAAATTTTTTTTATTTAATATTATGTGTTGCTCTTTTTCGTGATTATTGAAGCTAGAAAAAGCCGTTTTTTATAGTTTATCCCATTAGAACAAAGATAAAATGTACTTAGTATCACTCGATTTTATCATTCGATATAAAAAAAAAATTCCCTATTTGAAATGGTATAAGTTCCGAAAGACCTAAATTTAGATCTCTATTCCCTTTTTATTAAAAAAAAGGATTGGAGATCTAATTAGGTATTTTCAAATCTAGGTAATGTTCATGCATGAAGGTAGAATAATTGTTCATTTTAATACCAAAATGTTTTGTGTTTTTGAGGAAAGTATTGTTGTTTAAAAATTATTAAACAATGTTGGATGAGAATTAATTATGAAAGTTAGCAAGCAGAGCCTCCTAGTATATAAAGGAAAAAAAATAGATGCTGCATTAGAAATCTATTAGTAAGTAGTAAAACTAGCAGGAATACTTATTTTTATGCAAGCTATTTTTCGTATTACACGTTCACTATTTTTAAAGAAAAAAAAATGGTAAATTAAAAAAATAATTTCTAATAAATCTGATAGCGAATTTTAGAAATCTTTCGTGCAGGTTAGAAATTTAGTACAAACAAATCAGTTACAGAATTTTATTTGTGTAAGATATCGCTCGAAAAATAATCAAAGTCAGAAATATTGAAAATTGTAAACTGATTGTCAAAATTTTTTATAATCGCAAGCATTGAATGAATCGCTTAAGAATCGCATTAACTTTGATGAAAAACAGGACATAAAATTCTTTCGCTGTATTAACCATATGATCTTATTACTAAAATAATAATTTTAATAAAAACGTAAAAGTTTGCAGTCGTCGATTGCCATACGCAAATTATGGGTTAATGAAGTTGATGTACACATACGGTCCAAAACTTGCTAATGCGCTATATCATAAATGCATCACTATTTATCTTCTTTATTCATTTTATATGATAGAAAATATTTGTGTAATAATGGTTTGTAACAGCAACGCAAACTTATAATAATGTGCTTCTAAACAAAATTAAAAATAAAAACCTTAAGAAATTACCGAGTAAAAAAAAATGATCTTTTTTAAAAAAAACGTTAATCAGACTTTTGCACATTTTTATAACTTTTTTTTTCAATAATGACCAAAAAATTCAATGATTAGCATATGTGAAGCGAAATTGCCCTAAGACCTCTCCGTTGAGAATCGATAAGACTATTTTATTCATGAGAATGATTTGCAATTAAAAAAATCCAATTATATTATTAAGAAATCCAATTACATGAGAAAAAAGTATTGGATTTTAATAATTTTTCAACCTATTAATTACTATTTATTTATTTATTAATTAAAAATATTAAATGTATAATTTTTTGTTTATTAATTAAAATTTGAAGTAAGCCTTAACCTTAGTATTTTTAAATTAATTGCAAAATAATTAAGTGAATATAAAATGTTAAATATGAGTCCGATGTACAGAAAAAAAAAATAATTGGAAAATTAAAATTAAGCGAAGAATTTAATTTTGCAACTTTTTTTATTGCTTCATTATATTTAATTGCTCAAGTATTATATGAATTTTATTATGAATTCTAAAAAAGGAAAAACTTGCACAGTTAAAATCTCAATAATATTTTACTCTTTTTTACTTTTTTATTTCCCAATGAAATTTATATGTGAATGCGTTTAAAGCACTTTGTTAAGATTAGTTTTAATTAAGATTCGGTAGAACTTAAAGTTGTTAGAACTTAGGTTTCGCATTCTTATTTCTAATAACTATTTAATGAATGTGATTGCTCTAAAAATAATCTAAACGAAACTGGTAAACAAGTTTCACAGCATATCTTTATTTATTAACGTAACTTAGAGCTAGTTGACTAGAGCTAGCAGTGTAAATTAGATTTTCCTACACTCTTCCGAAATTATTACGTAGTAAAATAAAATAAAATTTTCTTCTTTTTTCCTTATCAATCGATGCATTGATTATTGTTCTCAATTACCTCACTCCATCGTAAACAGTATTCTCGGTACATTATTTTCGTTTCAAGAGTCATCTTTTTTTAAAAAACATTAATTCATAATAGCTAAATGAAACTCAAGTACATAGCAACCCAACCAATTTTAGAATCTGAAGACTCAGCCACCGCGGTTTAAGATTTCTTTTTCTAGTTCCCAGCGTTGGCAACAACGAGAATTCGTACTGAAACATATGCTTTGTTTTTGTTTTGGTCCGGTGTTTCCGTTATCAAAGATAACATTTGTTTTCCCATTGAATTTACTATAAATTAAAGCAATGCATCGCACAACAAAGCAGAAAAAAACGAACATAAATCTCCGCTGCTTAAAGCCGGATTATGAAAAATTACGTTTTAACGATGGAGGCTTGGATACCGTCACATCTTCGGAGCAAATCGAGGTGGAAGAATCGGTTGAAAAATGCATTCAAGCTTTTAAGAACGTTGTTGAAATGAATCCTAAAGGCCCATTTCTCGAAAGAGATGCTCATTTACGTTTTCTCAAACAAGGATTGACTGTACCGAGTGGCATGGAAGTTCTTGATGCCAGTCGACCCTGGTTATGTTATTGGATTTTACATTCCATTGAACTTCTGGGTGAACCCATCCCATCTGATATTAAATCTCATATTATAGAGTTTCTCAGAGCATGTCAGCATCCAAATGGTGGTTTTGGAGGTGGACCCGGTCAAGATGCACATTTGGCACCCACATACGCCGCTGTTAATGCACTCTGCATTTTAGGAGAAACAAGAGCTTTTGAAGTAATTGATCGCGACAAGTTAGTCAACTTTTTATTTCGAATGAAACAGCCAGATGGATCTTTCATAATGCACGAAGGCTCCGAAAGTGACATTAGAGGCGTGTATTGCGCATTATCAGTCGCAATGCTCACGAGTGTTTGGTGCAGCAAATTGGTAAAAAAGACTGCTCAATGGGTATCAAGATGCCAGACTTATGAAGGAGGGTTTGGGGGTATCCCTGGTATGGAAGCTCATGGGGGGTACACTTTCTGCGGTCTTGCGTCTTTGATGCTGTTGCAAGAAGGGAATTTAGTTAATATTCATAGCTTGTTGAGGTGGCTTGTGTTTAAACAAATGAGCTACGAAGGAGGGTTCCAAGGACGAACCAATAAACTTGTGGATAGCTGCTATTCTTTCTGGCAAGGAGGTACTTTCCCGATAATTCACCGACTATTGAACAGAACTGTTCCGGATAATCTGAGTAGAGAGTTTTGGATGTTCGATCAAAGGGCTCTACAAGAGTATTTGCTGATATGTTGCCAAGCACCACATGGTGGTATGATTGATAAACCAGAAAGATCCAGGGACTTTTATCATACCTGTTATTCCTTAAGTGGACTTTCGATTTCTCAACATTTTTACAATTCTAATAATATGAAGGATTGGATTGTTGGTCATAAAAATAATGAGTTAGTACAAACGCATCCAATTTACAATATATGTGTCCCAAGTGCTGTTTCAGCTATTAAATATTTTGGAAACTTGCCAAAGCCAAAAAGTTTAGAAGATATCATTACAAATGATATCCTTGACGATGATGATTCTGGAAATACCGATTCCTAAAAGATGAACTTGATTGACTCCGATTTACAAGTTCAAAAATTGATTATATATTTTTTAATCATATTTCGAGAAAGCAGCATTATAAATTTCTAAACCAATTTCAAACTTTGATGGAATTTTTTTTTTTTTTTTTACATCATTGTGATAGTTAATCTGTAGTATACGTTAAATATCTTCATTGTGATATTCCTTGTGTCATTAATTTTAGTCTTATAGCGTTTCTATGAAAAACTTGTTTTGATTTTTTGTAGAAACATGATTGGCATTAAACAAATGTTTAATTAAAGAAGTAGTTTTCTAACTATTCAACTTTTATTCATGCTGACAAATAAATTAAATTAGAGTAATATTCTGGTTTTCAAATGAGATTAATGTTTAAAATTTATTTTTAGAAATCTAATATTCCATGCACATCAAGATTCTTATTTTATTGTTCTGCTGTTTTTATGCTTATTTATTTTTTATGTACTTTACAGTTTTTATAAAAATAAAATTTAAAAAATAGTAATTTTATCCATAGTGTTACTGGAAAACAATTCAAAATGTGTTATGATTTTTATATAATTATTATCTTCCAACTATAGCAAATTTTTAAAGCTCATTTTAATATAATAAAATAATAACTTAAACTGACTTATCATAATGATAATATTGTGAGATTTTTATCATCGGACTCTTAAAAATTGCTGAATTGTAATTCATAATTTGCTAATGTAGTTTGAAAGTTTGTAGTGAAAAAAAAATATTTATATACTCGTTCATTAACAATTATAATTTATGAAATAGGTATTTAATAAGTGTTCATAATTTATTGTAAAATGTTAGTTATAGTTATATATTAAAATATGCTAGAAGGCTGGTTGTGCTTGCCTATTACCCTTAATTCATTTCAGCTTTGTTGAAATCACTTTGAGATTACAGCTTTCTTGCTTGTTTATTTGTTATCAGAACTATTTACAAGAAAATGTTAGCAAGATTCATTATATTAGCCTGTTTGATGTGACAATCTTTTTTTCATTTGAAAATTCAAAAAGACAACATCATGATAAAACATTCGAAACTGCTTTAATATTTCAGGTCATGGTATAGCCAATTCTCGACTTAGCACCATTAACTGAGCATTAAATCCGTGCCTGTACTGACAGCTGCCGGTGTGGTTTCTTGTATTCATTTTTAAAATAAAGAACTTGCAACCATATGTATTTTACTTTTTGAAATTCAATAATGTATTTTCTTTTTTTTGAATAATAAAAAAAGATCTTAGCAATTATCTTATTAAAATTATTGGTTTATTTTCGAACAGGTCATCAATTTTTTTATGATAGTTTTATTCATTTGAATAATTATTGAAATTTCTCCTGGTTTGAGTTTTTTTTTTAAAAAAACTTTTCATTACCATAAGTTTTTCATGAAATATGTTCAACGCCTTCATACATTGACCTTGAAAAACAGAATTACTTTGGATTCCTTGTAACATAAGGTGTTATTCATTGCCTTTATTTATTTAACACTTTCATAACGGCAATGATACATCTTTGTCCCACCCTCTGCACTTATGAGTTACCCTGCAGTACTAAAATTGAAACCAAACGCAAATTCCTTTAAAACTTGTTTATTTTACTATAAAAATACTAAATATAATAATGAATTGCAATCAATAATACATTCATTAATACAACAATAGAGTACAGCTAATATCCTGGAAGACGAGTCATCTCTTTTGTTACAATTATAGAGTAAAATTACACCTTGCTTGTTTTTTTTTTCTATTCTGAAAGTTCAGTGAGAGATTATGAAAAGATTATTAAGTCTTGAGATTCATAAGTAAATATTTTTTCATGAAACAAAAACATGGATTAGTTTTTTAGGCGGAATATCGTTTCTTTTTCAATTCAATAAAAAGAACATTTCCGTCTTTTCAAAGAAAGTTCTCATTTTTCGAGTTTGATCCCCCCAATAAAAAAGACTCCTTTTTCTTCTACGTAAATGTGATATGAAATAATTCATGCGATTTAAAAGTACACATCGTGATTGGTATACACTAGATGTAAAATTGCTCATCGCGATACATATAAAAATCTTTATCAAGGTATGTATTCACACAATTTTTTTAAAAAATTCCCATCGTTCACACTTCACTATTTGATGTTTCATGTTTTTATAATTTAATTACAGAAAGTAGCTTATGAAATGTTTATAGCATTGGTCGAAAATGCAGCTGTGCATCTTTTCTCTATAATAGAAACAAAGCCAGTTTTGGATGCTCTATATATTTTGAAATGATTTAGACATCCAAGTATGTAAAAAATACAATTGAAGATCTAGAGGAGAAGAATTATTTAGGTCCATAAAAGTTAATTCTCAAAAAAATAAAAGAATTTCATTACAAACAGGAATTATTCTTCTCCAGTACGGACGACCATCTTTACTGTTTAATAACTCTCGCGAGAACAGACTTCCCATGTTATTGATTATGCAAAATGTAGAAGTAATCAATATTTGCTGTAAAGAATTATTTTGGTTTTAGAATTTTTTTTTTTAAAAAAAGGGCATTTTTAAAATATTAATTAAAAATTCTCATTTCGATTAATAATCCTTAATTTTCAAATTTATTTGAACTCAAAGAATGAATAATTAGATAAACTTTTCAAATATTAAAAAAAAATTATTATTAAAATTATAATTTATAAACATATTTTTATGCTTTTAATTGTTAGTATCTAAAAGTTATTTAAAAGCATTTTAAGATAGATCTGTTCCAGACTAATATGGCCATGTAAGGTAGAGTTTAAAAACATAAGATAGGATCCATAGCACAAAATTCTATAAAATGCAAAGCTTCATATTTCAAGATTTGCATTATAAGGATACATATAAGTTATGAAATGTTGTTAATTTGAACTATATTATTATTATTTTTGTAACAATAACTGCATAAATATTTTATAACAATATGACATAATTTATAAAAATATAATAGCATTTATGGGTTATTTTTTTTAATTTTTTATTATAACAAAACCATCAAAAGAGTAGCTGTGATATTGGGTCACCGAGTTACAATTTGCAATTAGTACACTTTCCCTCTTTAGGGCAAGCTGCATTAAAATTTTCAGATTGCCTCCTTGATCGACAAATGTGTTGTTGTAGTTCATTTACGACACACTAGAGCTGCACAATGGGCTATTGGCGATGGTCTGGGAAACATCCTTGAGGATGATCTGAAGACATGCCATCATCACACCCCCACTTCGGTAACCCAACGACCTGCTTGCAAAGTCAAGCACTTAACGGTAGAACAGTTTAGCGAGGACCAATACTGCACACCCTCGGTCCCTACGCAGACTGATACAAGTGGTCACCCACCTACACACTAACCACAGCCAGTGATGCTTGACTTTGGTGATCTGTTGGGAATCATGTCTTAATGACCAGTCCACTGTGGGAGGATGTGTGATTTTTTTTTTCAGTGTTAGTTGAAATTTGCTTTTTCTCAAACTATGTCAAAAATAAAAATAAGATGGTAATTAATAAAATTGGGTTGAAATGGGCTTGCTAAAAACATAAATTTGGTTACAAAAACAAGCTCCAGTTTAAAAAACCAAGATGCTCCCAGGGAAATAACATTCAAGCAATGATTGTTGTAACTTAACGTTAAACCCTTCCCTATCCCTTTTTTCTTTGATCCTCCGGCAGGAGCTGTGCTGCCCTGACACTGTCAAAGAAGCGTTCTTGCCTATTGATGAGTCCGCCATCCATCCAGACTCACCTGCTTGCAACGTAGGAATGTTTGTTTCTTTGATCTTCCGACCAGATGTTCTTCGACCATTCTTCTTCAACGGTAAAAGAGTCAACTGCAAAAAATACACATCTCGAATAAAACCAAATAAAAATCTTTTTTTTGGACTGAACAGCATAGTTGCATCCATATTCATCTTGTCACAGGTTGTATTTTTTCTATCTTTCCAGATGATATTTTATTTTCTTGAATAATCTTCAAAGCTGGTTTTGCATAAATATTTGCGATTGTATTACCATTATATCCTCAGAGCCTATAAATTAATTTTTGTATGTATTAACGTGTCTAAAGCAATGGCTACTATAATTAATTTTTTTTTAAAAAAAAAAGAAAAATTTAACAATGGTCACTTAAATTCATGTGATATAATTTATTGAATTAATTTTTTTTTAAATTTTAAGTAACCCAACTAATAAATAATAATTTTTATTAACTTAATTTTATTTATAGCAGACATGAAATTTATTAATGTTAAGGTAAATTTTTTACTTGATTCTGGTGTCAGACGTGGGAAAGTGTAATAATTGCATATTGTATCCCGATGTCACATTACAGTAGCAAATACACAAAACATTATAAAAAACACATCAGGATAAACACGAATTAAGAAACAATCAATTAAAAAATACACAAGTTTTAAGACATGCAAAAGAACACTATCAGCATAAATTATATTAATAAAAATCTTAAAATTACAAAAAAGGTGATAAGTGAAAACTACTTTTGTGATACTTTCTGTACCTAATTGGTAGTACGTTTTCGTCTGAAATATCTTTCCATTTTTAACTCTACCCATGTAGAAAAATATATGTGCCCTTAAAAATTATAGAAATAATACAGAGTGTTAATCAAAATATTGTATATTACAATCAATAATATACATTTAAAAAGAAAAAACAGTGTAACTCGATAGTGATAAACAAAAATATTAATTTTTAATAATATGGTTGTTAACCCTGCATAAGCTATTTGAGATGGCCTGGAATTAATCCTTAATGTAGATTACAAGATTGGAATATAATGATTTATGCATTATACTACTGCAATTTAGATTGGAAGAAAAATGGTGACAATCACTTGCTCTCTGCATAATGTTCTCCAATGGCTTACTGACTTTTCCTACCCTAAAACCACAAGGAGCATTGTATAAGAGTGGATTCCAAACCACCAAGACAAGAATAGAGAAAGTATAATTAGATCGGATACTCTACCTATAGCACAGGGAATCGAACCCAGACCAAGTAGTTGTAGCCGAAGTGTAAACCCACAATACCGACTAGGTAACCCAATAGCTTAACTTGATATTTGAATGTAGAAAGATTTGTAAGGGACATTGAAACTAAAATGTATAAACATAAATATTTCAGTATATTTTATTATTACTGACATTTCAATAAAAATTTCCATCACATTATTTCTACAGTGAATAAAATACTTTATTTTTCTGGTTTATAAGTCAACATTTTAAACCCCTAAAGTGCTGTGAAGTTCTGGGCATTTACTTATTCACCGGTGACACATTTCAACGCAAATATATTTTTTAAGACATGACCTTTAGCAAAAAGAAAAAAACTTAGAAATTAAATAAAAACATAAGTAACACAGAATAAATAGAAATTTGGACTGTGCAACCAAATTATTATTAGTCATGTTAATTTAAGAGTTAAATAATGTAAGAAGACCTAACATAACTAATTCAGAGTGAGAAGACAAAAACTGACTTGTGATCAAATCATTTCATATTACCATGCATAAATTATATCTCGCAATAAAAGGTGCACCTAAATATCTGAGATATTTGCTTTAAAATTATTAAACATGATTCTTTGTAATAATAAACAGAATTTTACAATCTGTTGGAAATTTCATTTTTACAAATGAAATTAAATAACACATTGAATTCACTCAAAATCCATAACTTTAAATTAAAAAAAAAAATGAGTTAACTTTAACTTCAGATCAACCTATATACCAGAAAATAAAGTAGTTACATTGATTAAAAATAGTTTACAATATTTGAGCGAATTCATTAGTATAATAACTTCAGATAAATTTTTCTCTTATAAACATAATGACGCTAACAAGGAACCACTTTATTCTTATTATAATCTGGAAGCATTGCCGTATTGGTATATGTTTGTGGCAATTACAATCATCAAAGGCATTTTAAACTAGCAAAAACTAAATGAAATATATGTAAAGGTTCTCATGATAGTAGCTATGATTTATTTACCCTTTGAGTTGGTCTTCTCTTTTATAATGTTTTATTTAGACTCTGGTGGGCCACCGCCTCAAAGTTGCCATATCTTATAAATTATTTTGGTGTAGGCAACAATATGGAAATCTAAGCTAATCTAATTAGCTAATTTAAAAATGATTTCCAGAAATTTTTCTTTTTGTTTCATTAATTGGTATCATCTCTTTATCACAAGGATAACTATACTCACTACATTTCAACATTTTTATTTTTAATTCCATAATTTGAATAACAATATGGGGGCATTCTACTTGCAACATCTTCCACTCCTGCTTTTGTTCCAAAATTTCATATTTATTGCAAATAAATTTACAGGCATCGGCACGTAAATTTTTATCATACAGATCAGCAATTTTTATAATATGCAATACATTTTCATCGCACATAACATAACGCAGAAAATCAATACATATCATTTTCAAACCAACTAACTGGTACATATAAGCGGCTGACAGAAGTTCACAAGCTAAGGTAGCATTTAATGGTTCAGTTTTACTGCTGTAAATATATTCGAGCATTTTTCGTAGAATGGATGGTTCCATTCCTTGGATTTCCACAAAATCCTGATGGCTTTCCCGCATGGGATTGAGAAACATAGCGGCAAAAACGGGAGATCTTGCCGAAAGGATATTTTTGTGCGCTCTAAATACATCAGATCCACAGTGCAGTCTGACATCTGAGAAATCTCCGCTTTGCAACAAAGACTGCATGTCATTCATTAAAGCAGTTGAACTGCGCAATTGTCTGGCAGTAAATCTGAATCGAGATTTAATAACTCTTCTTTGGTTTTGGATATCCATTGCAAAAGAACTTTTTATTGTGATAATAGTATATAAAATTTTTTAAAAAATAAAGAAAATCAACTTTTTATAAAGGACAAAAACACAAAAAACAATAGAAGTTGTAGTTCAAAATCCAGGGGAAAGTTAAGAATACGAAGTAAAAAATGCGAAAGGAAATGCACTTTCGCGATTCGTAAATAAGTGAACTATAACTAGTGTAAAATAAGAATAAAAACTAGCAATAAAACATTTTAATTTGAGGTAATAATCATAGTGATCGATCAAAAAGCCTAAGCTTTTCAAATGTTCATTAATATTGCAGAAAATCAAATCCGAAATCTGATCTCTGGGAAAGCAAGTCGCAACTTGCTATGTAAACAAACAGACGCCAAGATCGTTTGTGTATAATATTAAGTTGCCATTTGCTATTTTTAAAATTTATCTACATTCATTTTATTTGAATTTCATCAAAAAATGACTGTATAAATTTCTTTTTGACAATTCTTTCTTCTTTTTTCACCAGAGTTTAGAAAAAAGTTTTAAAACTTATATTTTCCTTCAAAGTTTTAATAATTTCACTTCCCCTATGTAATTATCACCTGTTGAATGTAAACTGTAATTGCGCGCAGTTTTGATTATGCAATATATTATTTATATTTGGTAAAAAAATTTTTTCCAGGATCGGCAGTTTCGGGAATAAACCCTAATCAGTAAATGCTTTTGCATTATTAGCTGACAAAACAAATCCAGGTATGAACTTGCAGTGCTTGTCACAGAATTAAATTTACTTTGAAAAGCCTCATTATTTTTTTTTTATATAATCTGTCTACAACCTTTTTTTTTGCATCTCGAATTATTTACCATTTTTAACAATCTCGCTTATAATTGTTGTTTAGCTATGTAAATTTTGTAGATATTTAATTCTGTAACTATTGATGTTATTCGAAATTAAATTAAAACTGTAAATATTAGTTTATTTATTTTATCTACATTGAAAGTTAGTATAATTTTGTATAAAATGAATGCTTTAAAAAATAAGACTTTAAACATCAACAAAAACGTCTCTAGCATTTTAAAATGTAGAAATATAAAAGTTGACGAAGGTATATATTTTTGGGAGACTTTTCGCTTTGCGTTTGGCCAACCGTAAAAAAAATTCAACTTACAAGAGTGTTTAAAATCTATAGAAAGATTTCTGAATTAGTGTCTGGATATAATAACCTGGTTTTGGATGACTATTTTATTTGGCCTGCACGAAGGCATCAAGGAAAGGGTATAATTTGTAGTTATCCTCATGCAAATCTCCGCATATGTATATTTTTAAGAATTATTTTTGCAAGTGCCTTGGCAATTGTAGTTGGAGCACACTGGTACCGATATAGAAATATCTCCTAATCTATAAACCAGGGTTGGGTTTTTGACGTCAAAAAGTGGTTTTTGACATGACAAGGGTATAATACTGGTTTAAACCGTCAAAAATGTCAAAAACTGAAGTTTGCCAAGAAAATATATAAACTTCAAAACTACCAACAGTTGCCATGCATTATATTGAAATTTAATTATACTATAGGTAATCAGCAGGTTTTAAAATATTTTTTAATTAAAATTAAGGTAAAATAACAGATTTAAAATCTCAGAA